GCGGGGCTAGGGCAGCGGGGCCGCTGCCGGGGGCTTAGCAAGGCGCGAGGCTCACGCTCATCTCCTCCTCGCAGACACTCTCGGAAGCGGTGGGAGCGCTTCGTGCACAGTGAGAACCAGCACCTCGTGAGCACGGAGGCGCTCGACTTCCTGGACAAGCTGCTGCGCTACGACCACCAGACACGACTCACTGCCCGGGATGCGATGGAGCCCCCGTAATTCTGTACGCCCTCTCCCCTGCTCCGCACGGCTGCTGCCTTCGCCTCCATGCTCCCCGTGGGCGCTGACCGCAGCCTGCGCCGTCCCCTCGGTCCAGAACCGGCCTCCTCCCTGCTCCTGGCACCTGGGCACTGCCCTGTTGTCCCTGGTTCTCCCGATCCTCTGGGCTGTGGGTCACCTCTGTCCTTGCTGGCTGCCTTTCTGTGCCCATCCCCATGCGAGTCTGCTGCTCCGTTTCTGGGGGATCCAGAGTGGAGGGACAGCAGCTCTCCCCTCTGTGTGCGGGGAGCCATCACTGACACGTGTCACCTTCCCCTCTGCCCTGCAGATCCCATAGCAAAAGACCCAGCAAGGATTGGCACCTCGGCTGGACTCTCGGCCAGTAACACGCCTGTCAGCTCCTCCAGTATGTTGGCAGGTGGGTCGTCGTGTTTGCGAGCCCTTGGGGCCTCCGGGGTCGTATCGCCGCTGTAGGGCCGAGCATCGCGCTGTCCCCCCCCATCGCTGGAGAAGCCGTTCTTGGTAATGGGATGTTGTCTTCCCTGGGGGCTAGTGCAGCCTCGTGGGCGAGTTGTGGTCCTCACCCCGTCTCAGTCCCCAAGGAGCCCGCTGGGGCTGGCGAGGAAGGGAGGCTGCACTTCCTCCGCGGCACTCACGGGGCTGGGAGGAGGCGGGTTGTCAGCTGGACCTCTTCCCGTAGCTGTTGGGGGCCTGACGACCTGTTCTCTCTCTGGCACAGGTATTACCTCGATGTCCGCGTCCCAGCCCATCGGCAGGAGCCTCGCTGCGTCGCCCGTCATCTCCTCTCCAAACGCTTTGGGCTCGCCGGTCCCCGCTGCCGCCGGAGTGCAGCCCTGAACTCAGTTCTCGACCTCTGGCTTCTCGCACCGCCGAGGCCGGTGCCGCGCCTGCCTTCTGCCCTCCTGCCTGCCCCTCCGAGAGCTGTGGGGCTCTGGCCGCCCACCAGCAGCCACTTCCCAGAGGCAGAAATGGGGTGGGGGTGGGGGTGCTCTGGAATTTTATTTTTATTTCAGATGAGTATGAAAAAAAAAGAGCAAAAAAAATGTAGGTTCCTTTTTTTTCTCTGTGCAGTAACAATATCGCACTCTCTGGCTACGGACCAAGGCTGATCTCTGTTGTGTCTGTGTCGGGGTAAGGAGTTAGCTGCATTCTTCTCATGAGGATCATGGTTAGTGATGCAACTACAGTGTAGAAATCTAAAATGGATAATAAAATTTATTTTCTATGTCCCTAACAGGACAGCAGGAGCAGCAGCTTGTTCTTGGGCTGGGGTGCGTGGGCAAGGAGTCGGCCTCTCGTCGTCTGCTCTCGGGGACTGCACGGGGCAGAGGGGTGGGGATTTGCCGCTGCTGCGTTCTCACTCCCGGCCTCGTGGCTGGGGGGTTCCCCCCCCCACC